TGATTATGTTTATCTGCAGTTAGTTAGACGAATTCAGATATGAAGCTCTAATAAGTTGTACTTACGCACAATCTACTTGCAATCTTGAATTTTAAATAATATGCATTAATAAACAGTACTTCATACATAAAAAATGGTTTTTAAATTTTTTTATCAAATACTTTATAATATATTATAAATATTTGACAATACCATTCTTTCTTAATATTTGAAACTTGAAAGGCATATATTTTATTCAAAGTCTTTTGGGATATGAAAATGTAACAAACGAATATTCGAATATTTTTTATTTCCTGGAAATTAGAGAAAAAATAGCTTTCGTCGTTTATTGCGTGCGAAGTCTATTTCGATTATTTACTGAAATAGTCCCTACACTATTTATTCATCTACAATTATCGTCCATCAGATTTCTATTTTTCTACTAATGGTTTGTAAAAAGATTGCAATTAAACTTTGTATAAATTAAGGTGGTTGTATTAATTAAATTGTCTATATGAATTAAGCTGAATTATTGTTTGTTTTATTGTTCTAAATAAACTGTGTTAAATAACCAACTCTGATTTACCCTTTGTAGTTTGTTTTTTTAATTCCACTAAATCTATGCTTTGTGTTATCCAGCTAAACAAAACTCTGTAGGTTAGAAGAATCAAAAAAATTACGAGCTGAAATTCATAAACGTTATGGGGACTTGGGGATTTCAGTTAATAGCAAATTGTATGAAAAAAATAATGTACTTTAACTTGATTCCTGTTTTAGATAACGTACCTTCAAAACTTCTATTTTGATACATAAGATGTAAAGTTTTAAACATTTGAATACCCGAGTAACCAGTTGAAGCATTAATCAGTTATCATGTTGATGTGGCGAGTGATGTGGTATCAGACTCGGTATTATTTGCTGGACTGTATGACCAACTTGCTAACTATTTTTCATTTAGTGATCATCTATCAAAATAAAAAGTGTAGGGACCTAAAACGGATACTAAAACATAGTTGAGGGACCATTTATGCGATTCACGCGTCTTTTAAACGAAGAACCCCTCTGCCCTATAAATAAAACTCAAAAGGCTCCCTTTAACCCCTAAAGACCGCCCTGCAATTCTTCTAGCATCTTCTACTCTCTTCCATATCAACCATGACTCGCATAACGAATAACGACAGCAAACCGTCACCGGCAATCATCAAGTTTCTGTACAGCTATGGTGGAAAGATTATGCCACGTCAGATCGACGGCAAACTCCGATACGTCGGCGGTTACACCAGGGTTCTCGCCGTGGACCGTTCTATCTCGCACGCGGAGTTGATCGTTAAGTTTTGGGAAGCGTGTGGATTATCAGTGAATTTGAAGTGTAAACTGCCGTCGGAAGATCTGGACGTGTTAGTGTCCGTTACCTGCGATGAAGATCTCGCCGCCGTCATCCAGGAGTACGATCGAGTTTCTCCAGACGCGAAGATCAGAGCCGTTCTTTTTCCGGTGAAATCGTTGAAGACGATCTCTCCTGTTCCGTCGTATGAATCGCTCGTGGAATTTTCAGCCGCAAAACCTCCGCCGTATCCGGTGTCAGCCAATTCCGCCGTCCGAAAAGGAACGGAGCAACATCAAGCGGTTGGTTCCTCATTCCAAAAGCTCCGTCGGTATCCTGTCGCTAAATCTTGCCGTGAGAATCCACCGTTGGCGTTCCGACTCCGTCAAGATACAATCCCTAGGTAGAATTACCTTGTTCGTCGATGGAATTCCAAACAATAGAAGAGCAAGAAACCATTAGGTATTAGATGAACATAAACAATTACCATACTTGAATATTCTGATAAATTTTGGTTCCCAAATTCGAGTTTCATCTGATTACGCAAGTGATGATGTTAAATCCTAAACTGGCATTCAATTGATTCAAGACAATCTGAAGATCGATTTGATGAATTTTAACGGATTCTCACCATTCACCGATGTTAGAATGGCAACTATTAGGGTTCCGTTGAGGGGTAGTTTAGGGGTAGGGAAGGGGAATAGTGATTGAGATATTTAGGGTATATAATCTTAAATTAGATTTGTTTAATTCCATGATTGTACATGGATTTAATTAGAATCTCATTTAAGGGTATACATAAATGAGTCGTTTAGGCTCTGAAATTTATGAAGATGAAAATCAAATCATTGACAGGTAACAAACAATCACGACATCTCTAAGAATATGTAAAAACGTTATTTTGCCTGTTAAAAACTCCAACTTACGGGCAAAAAAAAAATGGGATTTTGTTAAAGATTAAAGAGAAACGACGTAAGGATCTGTATTTTTGGCGTTATTTGCCCCCAACCATCCATTGTCCAGAATTTATCGTCATCATTTACCATGGCCATCATAAATTGATGTCGTGAAACCATTGTTATTTTAGAGCTACTCCAACTTTTAACTGAAAGGTTATTGGTTCAATGGTGGTTATTGGTTCAATGGTGTCTGGGTTTTCGATGGTGTCGAGCGTCCTAAATGTTAAAGAGTTCAAGTTTTCATCAAAATTAAGGAGTCTCTGTAACGTGCAAGTTTTGAAGTGTAGTGAAATACGTAACAAAACCCTTACCTTTACCAAGTACGTCAAGTTTTAGAATTTTTGAGTTCTTATTGAGTTCTCTACTATTGATTGCAAAACCTTTGCCGATGCAAGGAAATTGGTGATTTTGATCCGGTGTTTACCTATCATTTCTCATATAAACGAAGATCGTCGTTAAGAGATTATCAAAAGTTGAGAAAATGAAGATTTTATTCTCTATTTTATTTCAACATATCTTTTATATTGTTCTTTAAAACAAAAAAGTCGATAGAAAAACTTTTTTTTGAAGTATATAATATTTATATACGGCAAATACAACAAATAAACTCACACACCCTTCTCATCTATGGTGAGGTTTAAACCTCTGACCTCCTAAAAGGTCAAAGACTACGATACCGCTGGACCAAAACCCTTTGATAGGTCAAGAGAAAAACTTGAGGTGAGAGAATAAATGATTTTTTTATTCATGTAAAGATTTCTTAAAAGGTAAGAGAATCTCTAACAAGTTCTCTAAAAATAGAGAATCAAAGTTAAATTCTCCAAAAAAAATTGTACTTATTTTCAATGGTTTTTGTAATTTAAAGATTACAATGTGAATTATATTATTAAAATATTTAAATATTTTTTAAAATATTATTTCTTTCTCGTGTATATTTAATTTAAAGGATTCTCATTGAAATCAAAAATAAAAAATATATTTTTTCATAGGTAATTATTTTTGGAAATTTTCCCAAATTTGGAGAATGTCACCTTATTTTCTTACTTTCTTGATTTTGAAAAAGCTTTTGGAAAATCTGTTGAACCAATTTTTTTTGAGATGTCCATTTCGAAAGAACTGATGAAGATGCAAAATGAAATCAGAGTAGCCTTTTATTGAAATTTAAAATGAAGTTTTGATGTTGATGAATGTGAGAAGAATATTATTGAATACTTTTAATAACAAAATTCATAAAATCTCTAAAACAAAGAATCCTTCAGAGTCGAATATAATTCATTATAAAGATTTCAATTTTTTTTAGCATTTCCAACAACTATGCTATTTTAGAAATTTCGAAAAAGTTTGCTTCAACAGCTGTGCTAAAATTTCCTCTAAAATAAGAAAAATAAAAGGGCAAATTGCATGAAAAAATTACGTACTTTAACTTGATTCCTATTTCGTGTAACGTACTTTCAAAACTTACATTTTGGTACCTAAGATGTAAAGCTTTAAACATTTAGGTACCCGGTTAAAGCATTAACCGATTACCATACTAATGTAGAGAGTGATGATATGAAATCGGATTGAATAGCAAATAATACCGAGTTGAATACTACATTATTCGCCACATCAACATGGTAACCGGTTATCCGGATACTTAAACGTTTAAAACTTTACATCTTATGTACCAAAATAAGAACCAAGTTAAAGTAAATTACTTTTCTCATACAACAACTATGTTAAACTTTCCTCTAAAATAGGTTAAAGAAAATATAACGTACCTGGTTCTCTTGACGATACCCTTAATTCTCTGCTTTAAAAAAAACTATTAGAGAATACGTTGAAAACGTTATAAACATCAAGAATGCAATGAAAATGCCAATTTCCGTTTTTCCAACGTTCCCATTCTCATTTAACAAATCAAGCATCATATTCTCATTCATTTAAAATGGTTGGTTGATTTGGGACCATTTTCAAGAGAAAAAGCTAAGGGGAATATTGTTAAAAAAGAACGTTAGGTTACCCAAAATACAACTATGGAGATTTGTGTGTGGGCTTTACGTAACTTTTCCAACCTTCCCCATTCCCACCTTCTATTCCCAATATTTGGAATAAGAAAAAAAAAAAGGTATCAAACGTCAAATATACGATAAAATAAGTTTAAGGGAAATTCCCTTTTCTTTATGTGTCGGGTGTCAAAAATAACTGAAACCGAATAATCCATCTGAACTAAACACAATTTGGATTATTCGGTTTTCGTGTGAAATGGTTCGGTTAACTGAATGAGAATTTGTATTCGGTTAATTTGTTTCTAATCCGCTCAGCCACTGGGATGTGTGCACAATTTACCTTTCTCATGACAATGAGACCGGTGCTATGGGGGCGCTTTCATGGGGTGACGAATACCATTTTTTTACGCCTTCCCACTCCATCATCAACGTCACCTTTTTTTCCGCTTTATTCTTGCTACACTAACTTACCTTTACCGTATGTAATGTGCTTCTTCAGCTCTCGGATATCTTTCAATACATTATGATGATAACGATCGCCTTAATCATGGTTTGGTTCCGTTCATCCATTTGTTCACATTCGTTAATCCAGACTTTACTTCTTCTTGGCCCAACAATACCTGAGGTTACTGGTAGATCCCAACTCCTGGTTAGTCATAGAAATTGGGTCGGGTTTGGTCATTCATTTTTGCTTTTTCGGGATTGAAGGGTTCAAACCTCACCAAATGTGAGGAGTGTGTGTAAGTATTTGTTGTATATAAATATTATATACTCCAAAAATTAACATTATAATTGGGCTAAAAGCTAAAACATGTATAAGTTGGCCCCAAATACTTTTAGGGCCTTGTTCAACGTCCGACATTGGTACACCCTCAAGCATGACCTACGTTCGGCAACGTTTTGAGTGTTATACGGTAGTTACAAAGATTATGGCTTGCTATATCTATGGACAACGGCTAAGAGATGGAACAATAAAAGGTGTGAAAACTAACCGGTTTCCTGCTCAAACTCATCGCCTTCGGACTCTTACTGCATTGTCGGCATTGTCAGCATCTGCAGCATTGTCGAAGTCTTCTTTATCGTTATCAACCATGGTTTTCCCTATCACGATTTGGTTGCTATTTATCTTCCTAATCTCATTGCACTGCAAAACGAACGTATTTCAGTATTTCTATTTCCTACATACAAGAACAAATCGTTTGAAAGATAAAATGAACCTCTTTTTCCATTTTTGGAAAGTCTCGTCTCCTTTTCTACTTGCATAATACAAGTAAGAACTAAGATCACATTGTTATTTCTGAAGACACCATATAAAGTAATTCAAGTAACTAAAACCAACAGAGCCTAATAAATATCAAGTGCTTCATCAGTATTTTTCAATGGATACTGAGGCTTGGTATCTGACAATTGGCATGTTGGTTTGTAGTTGAATTGAACTTCAATAAACGAAACCGACGAGCCCACTATATCCCAGCTGGATGTCAGTTTTGGGATGTAAGATGGACGCATACATGTCTTCTACCCATGGAGAGGCGTTTAGATTAAAACTTCAATGTAATAAGTATGTCGTTAGATTTTAGAAATAGGGTAATAATCGAAGGATATATGGATAAGAACAAAGATCTTAAGTACGTGAGAAATTGAGAATCACCATCCTTAAGGAATTATTAGCCCCCACTATTTACACCAATGGTTTCCGGACTAAATTCTACCCAGGAATCACCTCAACATAGAATTTTATTCTGTGCACATAATATCATCCATGAACATCATGAGAATCTTCATTTTGAGTGTATATTCATACCCTTAAAATATGATGTTAAGGGAGACATATAGGTGCCATTGGAACCATTTTTGGAGGCTAAAAAATCAATTAGTAATTAATTTCCCGCGAAAAAACTGCTTCTGCAAATAGGCAGAACAGGATAGCGATTCTGTAAACTACTAGATCGCGAATGCCCATTTTTGGGAAACAAAAAGTTCGGCAAGTAAAAAACATGATTGTGTCTTCAGTGAACGGATCGTGGATGCCACTTTTGGAAACTTAAGCGAATATCAAACATGATCGCAGAGTTTCAAAAGAAGGAAACTTTTCCAAATCTCTTCATTTAAATTTCATCATTCCACCTATTTTGGTACACCATATAAAGCAACTCCAAGAACAAACATGGTTAATGAGACCATACTTCAACAATCACACTAAAATTATGTAGTAGTTATACTGCAATGTTACTTAATACTCTGCAAATTCACTCAGTTTTTGCTACAGGGATCTTAGACAAAATAAAGACATATAACATATGCAATTGCAACAAACATATTTCTATGTAGGAATGTAACCTAATTATAGAAACTAAGGAAAAAATCTAACAAATTGATACTTCAGGCGTTTGAACTTAACTTGTTAAGTACAGAAAACCATGTGATCCAGGAACAACATCTGGTTGATACTGGAATACCAGATTTAGCTTAATGAAATCGGAACCTGGTTAAAGATCCAGATGATTTGAATTTTGATATACCAGATTTAGCTTCAATTAGATCCATATTCGTCATATGAACTAGAAATTCAATGTCAAATTTAAAATCAGTTCAAAATATACAAATTTAGGTTTTCATAGTATGAAATTGAACCAATATTATACATCGATATGAAATCATATCACGTAATCGATTCATACGGACCAATAATTAGAAGAAAAAAAGTTTCTAAAATCATCTATAATAGGCCATAGCAAATGATGAAATTGAATACAAACAAATTTAGTAGCAGAAAATTGCGATTTACACAATCAATCAGTTGGAACCAAGTATATACGGACCTTGTCTTCAAAATCGGACTCTTCAATGGCGAGAAGAAGTTCCTCACTCTGCGGCTGAGGCCATTGCGGAGTAAGAAGAAGCGACGTCGGAATCATCCTCGTCGACGACGGATACTGCATCATGAACGCCGGAGTTGTAGCATGTTTTACGACTCAAGTCGTTCGGTTTCAGTCACCCAAGACGCTCCGTCACCGGAAAATGGAGAGAATAATTCTAACCCACCTGAATATTTTATATGTGGGCTGGGCTTCCTCCTGAATAACAATGGCCCATTGATATTTCATTTATATTCAAGCCCCATATTTAAATAAATTGCATGAAAAAGTAGTTTAGTTTAACTTAATTTTTATTTTGAGTAACATTATTTTATATTTAAGTATCTGGAAATTCGGTTGAAGCATTAACTGATTATGATGCTGATGCGACGAATGATGTGATATCTAACTCAATATTATTTGCTAAAGTGGTTAGTTTTTTCAATCAAAATTTAGTTTTTTTTAATCTAAAATTAGTTTTCAACCGGTTACCCGAGTACTTAAATGTTTAAAACTTACATCTTAAGTACCAAATGGAAGTTTTAAAAGTACGTTACCAAAATTAAAAATCAAGTTAAATACGCTATTTTTTCATGCAATTTGGCCTTCTATTTGTAATTGTAAGTTTGTTACCACCAAAAAAATATTAAAATTTACAGAAAATGTTGATTTTTGACAACTCCAACTGGTTTATACAAAATCTGTCTCCAAGTACAACAATATAAAGTGTTATTTTTTAGCTCACTCAGCAGCTGAGTTAGCAGGGGGTCTGAGATCGAACCCAAGATCTATATTGTATTTAGACAAAATCGCAAGACCTTTTTGCCAACTGAGTTGCACGCCGAAGAAAAATTATTATGATAAACCGAAAATGCAATGATAAATAAATTCAAAAAAATCATCTTGCTTTGAGTTATGAGTTACAGTTTTTCCAAAGTTCAATATAAATATAAAGGAAAAATGCGTGAAATAACAATCTACTTTTACAAATTTCCTTATTATAGCATTATACTTTCAGGTTTTCTTATTACAACAATGTATTTTTAAAATATTTTTTTATTAGGGTATCGTACTTTAAAAAATCTAATTGTTATATCATTGGGTAACATTTTAAATAAAATTTATCCATTATACCAGGTTTCTTTGTTACCTCATTGTCCACATAGGCTGTCCATATGTCATATAGTGCTGATATGACATTTTCTATTATAACATTGTACTTTCAAAATTACTTTATTATAACATCATTGAATTCTATTACAACACTCCAATTTTAATTTTAATATTTTTATCATTTAAACATTGTAAATTTAATCAAAATAAGACTACTCATTATTTTGTATTTCGTTAATTTTCGATTTAAAAATTAAGAGGAATATTTGTATTTTGAAGAAAGGTGATTACAATCACCTTTTTAATCACATCCGTCAGATCTTCTCGATCCAACGGTTTGGATGAGTTTTATCCCTTCTTTCTTTTTCAAGGTTTTCTTTCGATCTTTGTCTCCCTCGAACCTATTAATCTCCAGTCCCTCGAACAAACACATGCAGGAAGAAAACTGAACTTATACCGATCAGACACCACCCTGATGGTTTAGAAATTACAGTTTTCGTTCTTTTAATTTATATTTTGTTGTAATTTTCTTATAATTTACAATTTATTATTGTTTTAGTCCTTATGGTTTGCACTTATTTACTGTTTCCCTTCTATAATTAGCACATAAATGAAAATAAGAATAACTTACAAATCATAGGGGTTAAATACTATTTTTTAAACCAGAGGGATGAAAATTGAAAATATTACTCGAAAGTAAGAACATGTGAGCTGACAAAACCGCCATTCTCGACATTCCTCGTGTTACTACACACCTCACGCCACGTTTCCTCTTTCCATGGCCGTCTTCATCCCCATCTCCACCGTCATCCACCGCACCAACACCACCATCATCGTTATCCTCCATTCCAATCTTCCACAAAGACAAAACCCATTTCACATTTCATCAAACCCTCACAGTTTCACCACAAAATCTTCATCTTTTCCATCACATAATGAGGCTCTACGTCTACGTTTTAGAAGGCAAGAATTGGGAAGTCGACGAATCGTTCGTAAAACTCAGAGTCGGAAAGTCCAAATCAAGAACTAGGGTTTTGAAGAACACGAAAACCCCAATTTGGAATGAAGAATTTGCATTCAGGGTTCATTCGTTAGACGATCAACTTACTGTGTCTGTTCATCATCATCATCATCATGAAGGTATTGGTTTCTTGAAGAATGGTTCTAGGAATTTGGTGGGTCGGGTTCGGATCCCTTTGTGGTCTGTTGCTGCTGAAGAGAATCATCATTTGCCACCCACCTGGTTTTCCATTGAAACCCATAAGTCCAAAAAATCAATCAATCAAGAATGTGGTCAGTATTTCACTCCTTTCTCTTTGTTTTCTTGCATCAAGATTTATCGAACCAAAACCAACGTGGCGTGGTCAAGCATCAAGCTTTATGATTCAGTCATAGTAATCTATTGTGATTCTAATGATATCAAGTTGTAACACAAGGATGGAGTCGGGTTGGTTTGAGCTTGATTTCAAAAGTCAAAAGTATCATGTTTAAATTTAAGGAGAAATAAAAATATGGAGGTTTAAAATGCGGTGACTCTGGGGTATCTGTAAGACAGGTGATAGTGCCGGTTTTAAGATTTTTGATGTCCTGTACGAAAATAATAAAAATTACCCCTAACCTTATTTTTATAAACCAATGAAACAACAAAACATGCGATTTTTTAAAGCGTTTATAATCTTTTCAAGTTAAGTATCTCATCTCCATGTTGATTTTTATTAATTATAATAAAAAATACAAGGGGAGACATAAAAACCAAAACCCGGAATACAAAATATAAAATGATAAAAAGATAAATCTTAGATTAAGATCGTGCTTCCTTCTTTTTCAGTTTTTCTTTTTTCAAATTGAAATTTGCAAAATAGAAATTTTATTTCAATATATTGGACTTGAAAGACAATGAAAACTATAATTAGTGTTTAACTATAATAGTAAATTACATCCAAATCATTCTCATAGTAAGCAAAAAGTAAAAATCAAAAGTTACAAGTCTAACGATCAAAGGCTAAGAGCCTATCTGTAGCTTAATAAGTTTAATGAAACTAGTAGCTTATTCGCTCAACTATGCATGATTGTTTTGTTTTGGCTTTATGATATAGAAAGTGACTTATCCAATAAGCTTTTAGGGGGAGTTTTATATAAAAAGCCAAGTTTTTTTTTCAAACATATCAATTCCAACTAAAAAAACGATCCTTACATCTTTGAAAAAACTCTCATAAACAAAAACTTTTCCAACTTATACAAATAGATTAATTAATACAGACAACTTTATACAAACAAAAACTTTTCCAACTTTTTTCAACGATGTGCGTTCAGTATTCATCGCTACTAGACCTTGGGTCTGTTTTTATAGTTAAAACTCAGTTGTCAAATTCCCAAATTATTAAACCCCAAACTAGTAATAAATGACAACTTGATGCCTTTAGGCTTTGATTTCCAGTGCGGCCGCACGGGCTCCACGTGGACAGGACCGGCCCTGGCAGGTGGTCGCCCTAGGATTAGTCGGCTCGCATAGCGGATTGGATATGCAGGTTAATAAAAAAAATGATATCAAGCTGTTCTATTTGATCTTTTTCAACCCTTCAATGCTGTTGATAATGATTCCCTTTCTGTTGAATGTTGTTGAATGATGGGATGATTTCAGGGAAGATTCTTGTCGCTCTTTCTCTGCACGGAAGAGGCCAAGACGTATCCAACGATTACCCATTCGACTTGCAATCCAACATCACCGATAACAGCAACGACGAATGTGACAGCAAACACAGCCCGTCACACGATTCCAACAGCTCAAAATCACCACGAAAGATGATGAAATCCATTGTCGAAAAGCTTTTCAGTAAACACGACGATTCCGCCATGAATTCATCCGACAATGGTGAGTCAACCGAAGAACCTGCCTTCACTACTTCCTTTGAAGATTCCATGGAAACCATGGAATCCACAGACGAAGGAAGGGAAACGCCGGAAAATCTCCAAGGAGGTGTTCTTATTGACGAAACTTACGTAATACCTCCCAAAGATCTCAACCATTTCATATTTGCTCCGGATTCGCAGTTTCGGAAAGATTTAGCAGCGATTCAGGGTACAACGGATGTTCACGAGGGTCCGTGGACATGGGAATCCGATAAGATGTCGTCGTTAACGCGAACCGTTACTTATACGAAGGCAGCATCGAAGTTGGTCAAGGCTTCGAAAGTTACAGAAGAACAGACTTACGTTAGAGCAAGCGGGATCGAATATGCGGTTTTTGTAAGAGTGAATACACCTGATGTTCCATATGGAAATACCTTTCGAGTTGAACTATTGTATAAGATAACTCGAGTTCCCGAGCTCGGAGGAGATGAAACATCGCGGATTATAGTTTCTTGGCGGGTTCATTTCAATCAGAGTACGATGATGAAGGGTATGATCGAAGGGGGAGCTAAGCAAGGATTGAAAGAGAGTTTTGACCAGTTTTCGGCATTGCTGGCCGAAAGATTCAAATTGGCAAACCCGTCGGCCGGATTAGATAAAGATCACGCGTTGGCGAGCCTGCAGAACGAGCACCAGTCGGATTGGGAGTTAGCCGTCGAATATTTTTGTAACTTCATGGTGATTTCGACCGTGTTTATGGTTCTTTATACCGTTGTTCACATCTTGCTCTGCGAGCCACCGCGGATTCAGGGTTTGGAGTTTAACGGTCTTGAATTGCCGGATAGTTTTGGTGAACTCGTTACGTGTGGGATCATTTTCTTCAACTTGGAGCGCGTTTCTATCATGGTTTCGCATTTCGTTCAAGCTAGACTGCGTAGAGGTGAACTTCTTTCGTAATGTCCAGTTCGGTTCTTTATATACATGGTACAACAAATCGGTTTTATTTGATGCATTATCATGTCTAAGTGTCTTAATAGACTGCTTAACTGGACTTAATTTTATATCCGTCCTTATAAATGGGTTACAATAAGTTCATAGGATGCTTTTGAGCGTCTTAACAAGTATTTTAGTACAATTTTGAAATGAAAACGTCCTCTTAGTCTTTTTATATGACATTATTTGAAAAAAAATGCCTTATAAAAACAAGTGTCGTATACGTAAACATGTGTGTATATGTACACAATACACATGTTTTTTCCATGGATAGAGCGAATTCCGAGAATGGACCTTGCATTCGGCTAATCGACTGTGATTGTTGACAGGAAATGATCATGGTGTCAAAGCTCAAGGTGAAGGGTGGGTGCTTACTGTAGCGCTCATCGAGGGAACCAACTTGGCTCCATTGGATTCATCGGGTTTCTCAGATCCGTACGTAGTTTTGACATGCAACGGAAAGACAAGAACGAGCTCCGTCAAGCTTCAAACGCTCGATCCTCGATGGAACGGTGAGCGTTTGCATTTCTCTTACGATTTTAGCTCGTTTTTCGTGATTCTTGGAGCTTGGTACTCTTCGAGGTAGAGGTCAGGTTTGCTTACATCCTCCTCCCCAGACCCCACCTCCGGGCGGGACTTGTTGGGTTTGTTTGGTTTGATTTTAGAACTTGATACCGATCATTTGGTGAATTTCGTAGAGATACTCGAGTTTGATGCTTCAGAAGAACCGCCATCATTGTTGGATGTTGAGGTTTTCGACTTCGATGGTCCTTTTGGTCAACCGACATCACTCGGGCACTCCGAGATTAGATTCTTGAGACATACGGCGGCGGAATTGGCGGACATGTGGGTCCCTCTCGATGGAAAACTTGCGCAGTCTTTTCAGTCGAAGTTGCATTTAAGAATTTTCTTGGATAATACCAACGGAGTTGAAACGATCAAAGAGTACTTGACGAAAGTTGAGAAAGAAGCGGGGAAAAAGGTACGGTTGTTTTGCGTGTTTCTAAGTTTGAAGAACATGTCGATCTAATAACGTTAACTACTCGACAGCTCCACGTGAAGTCCCCTCATCGGAACTCGACATTTCAAAAGCTTTTTAGCTTGCCACCGGAGGAGTTCCTCATCAACGATTTCTCGTGCTCTCTCAAAAGAAAATTACCCCTTCAGGTATACTAATAACGCTGCTGAAAAGCTAACTGAATGTTGATAAATTAGTTATGTTTGGTAAAAACTAGCTTAGTTGGCTGAAAAGCTAGCTGATTGCTTATAACTAGCTTATAAACTAGTCATGTTTGGTAAAAACTAGCGGATAAGCTAGATGACAATGTAAAATGACCTAAAAGGACGCCCTGGGAAGTTAGGAACTGCTAAATTGCACAACTGAACCGAACTGGTTAGTTCTTACGGTTTCTAATCTTGTGTTCGTTTTTCTTTTTAGGGTCGACTGTTTGTATCTTCACGGATTGTCGGGTTCTACGCCAACTTTTTTGGACACAAAACGAAGTTTTCGTTCCTGTGGGAAGATGTTGAAGACATTCAAGTGCTTCCTCCGTCGTTGGCATCCGTTGGTAGTCCGATCCTTGTCATGGTTCTGCACAAAGATCGAGGTGTCGACGCCCGACACGGTGCAAAGTCTCAAGACGAACAGGGCCGACACCGTTTCTATTTCCATTCATTTGTGTCGTTTAATTCTGCAAGACGGTAAAGATAGCGATAACAACGCTGCGGTTTTCTTGGAATAGAAATCCATCGTCCCCAAATACCGTGTCCCCTTGTTCCCACCAATCATGTGACGACTTGTCATCGTTTTTTATCTAATACAAGCTTATTTAGTTCATTTATTTTTTAGTAAAATGATGATGTGTCTTCATGTGATTGGTGCACTGAAAGGGGATTTGGGATTTAGGGACAACATAATTTTATTCGGTTTCTCGATCTCGTGTTCTGTTTTGTGTGCAAACCAGGACGATTATGGCGTTATGGAGAACAAGAATGTTGAGCGGATATCAGAAAACCGACGACGACTTTGAGGATCAACACGAACAAGATAAAGCTGACGACTTTGAGGATCAACACGAACACGACGAAAAGGGTCTACAAGAAGACGTGGCTTCCCATTTGGTATTCGAAGATGCAAAAATGTCGAAGATTTACTCGGTGGAACTTCCGTTCAGTGTGAGTACTTGAAAAACAGTTAAGCACGTAGGTGATCTGTAAACTTTAAGTCACCGATAATCGGTCTTTGACTTGCAGGTTGAGTCGACGATGGAGATCTTTAAAGGAGGGAACTTGGAGCAGAAAGTGATGGGAAAATTGGGTTGTTTGAATTACAACACGACGAATTGGGAACCTGTATATGATCGTTCTAACGTGGCTGAACGTCGCTTATGTTACAAGTTGAACCGAAGGGTGTCGAGCTTTGGCGGTGACGTCATGTGCACGCAACAGAAGACACCAATTGTCGACGGTAAAGGGTGGATTGTGACGGAGGCTATGTGTCTGCGCGATGTGCCATTCGGCGACCACTTTTATGTGAGTTTGTAGTTTCGTTGTGGATAATTCTGAGTTTTGTTGTATATAAACTATAAAACACTTGAAAAAGAATGCAGGTTCAGGTTAAATACAAGGCGATGGAGCGTAGACCGGGATGGTGCGGTTGTGATGTCTTCGTCGGGGTTGCGTGGCTCAAAAGTTGCGGGTTCGAGCAGCGAATAAGCCGAAACGTGGTTGCGAAGTTGAGTGATCGGGTTCGGGAGATGTTGGAGTTGATGGAGAGGGAGATTTTGCTGTCGTGTTGCTGATGATGTTACATGAACAATTAGCAATTTAGCATCGTATAATATTTTTGTTAATTATTTTAAGTGTTGTTAATTACATAATCTTTATCTTTATATATATAAAAGGAAAACCTTGAGGTATTGAGGTGTCATCATGAGAATTGAGTATTCCCACGTTGATTAAGAGTTGAAAGATTTGAACGAAAGGTGGATTGAATGTCTTTGTGTCAAATTATGGGGTTAGCATCATATAGTTGTTTTATTGTGGATGATACTATTTGAAATTTATAACCATAGTTGAAATCAAAACCAATAAAATGGTAAAATTTATAGTGCAAATATAAAAGTGAGATCAATGATGATGACTTGGTAACATGAGGTTTGGTTATTAAATTTGAAAGAAGGTTAACTTTCATATTGGTAGAAAAAGATACTTTGGAAGAAGATGATGGATGTATAAAAGCGTGATAGAGTGGTTAAAATCAAAATCAACCAATTGATAAAATTTTTGTGTAAAACGAATGCAAATGATATATTTTTTCTTAACAAAAGTTGTGATTATTACGGTACTTATAATAACAAATGTAGTTTAAGTATCTATTATATATATATATATATATATATATATATATCACACACACATGTGTATATATATATACACTAGAAGAGTACTTGCGCAATGTAGCGAGATATATCTTTATTTAAGTGTTTCGTTTTATTTTTTTGTCTCTGTTAATATAATACGGTTTATATAGTTTTGAGAAAGATAATATTTTTACTTTTGAATAAAAATAAATTTAAAGATATCATAAAAGTTTGAGAAAATATATCGATATTAATATCAAATTAATTATTTAAAAATGCTCGTTTTTTGTACAATTTCTTTAATTCAAAATTTTATTATAATCTAATTTAGGTCTAATAGCGAAGTAATTTATTTTTGACTTAACAATATAATTTTTATAAAGATAATGATTCTGTTAGAACTCAATGATTATCTTAATTATATTTTAGATTTTTTATATTTAAAATAAGATGTTTATCCTGTATTTGATTATGTTTATCTGCAATTAGTTATATGAATTCAAAAACCGAGCTTTAATAAGTTGTACTTACGCACAATTACTTGTAATATTAAATTTTAAGTAATATGCATTAACAATACTTCATACATAAAGAATGGTTTTTAAAAGTTTTTATCAAATGCTTTATAATATAGTATAGATAAAGTGTTGACTTCATAATGTGCTTTTATCTGATGTTAGTATTCTCAAAATCGTGATTTACAGTGTTGGATGAAACGTTATAAATACAAATACAATCCGGAGTTTTCAAATACATCGCACTTCCGCTCGAGTCGAGACTTTATTTTTTTTCTTCTTAAATTGAGTTTTGATCACCGTACAACGCGCAATATCGAACACTAGTTTAATTAAAAATTAAACCCGAAGTTAAATGATCAGTTTTGACCATTCTACTTTTGAGTTGATAGTTATTTTGAGTCAGAATAATTAAATATAAATATAAATATTAAATATAATTTCTTATATTTAGTGGAATATTAAGAAGGAAAAAAGATAAATGTCTTCTCATTTAAGATTTAACCGGAGTTAACAAGAAAACACAACGAACGTTAATTAGACGGATGAAATTCATTATTTTTGGAAAATGTGTGAGAAAAATCTAAAATAAAAAAATCTAGAGACCAATTGTGTTAAAACTTATAAAGTTAAGGGACGAAAAATGTAATTTATTCTTAAAAAAAATGTAGATGAAATTACCCTCCAAGAATTTCTCCCGAGTATTGCATTAGATAACCAGAATACCGTTGAGGTTATCGTCGATCTCGTTGATCATCATCATAATCGCCTTCGGTTCGTCGAGAGAAATGCACCCAAAATCAGAGCTTACATTCATCAATCTCTGGTAATCTGCCTCGATTTGATCCATTTTCACACACTGGAACAACACTGCAATGGATCCAAACCCAAAAAATTTCCCGATTCTGTCATACGTCATGACCAGAATCCCCAGCATCAAACGCCCTAACCATCCGGAGTCCGACATCGAACAACAGCGGATGTCACCTCGGCCGGCGTTCAATCCAGAACCCTATTTCGAACTAACTGAACGAATGCCTCACCTAACAGATCCCCAGGTTTTGGCCGCCATGCGTTCCGCCGTTGCCGATGTATCTCAGACACGATCGCTACTGAAGACACTAGGTGAGCGTCCTGACCATGAATCTGTGGACATGGCGAAGGCGAGGCTTGCAGAGATTGAGTCGATGATGTCGAATCAGCTTGATGAGATCGCGTTGTCAGATAAGGTTGATCCGGAGGAGGAGAAGAAGAAGAAGGCGATAGAGAGGGAGAAGCAGATGCACAAGGCTCTGATCTCGTTGGATCAGATGCACGAATCGTATGATAAAATGTTGAGTGATGCGGAGAAGAGGCTTGAGAAGCTTTACGAGACGGCAAAGAATAGCAGGAAATCGATTCCGGTTGTTGACGAAGGAAGCTCCGTCCAAGGTTCGGCGGTTGATGACTTTAAGGAGGAAGTGGTTGCGATTCTGACAGATGCATTGTCGAATGGTGCCCAAAGGATTGATTTATCAGAGAGACGATTGCCATTTCTGCCTGAAGCCTTTGGGAAGCTCCATACTTTGGTCTACCTTAACCTAGCCTCCAATCAGCTTGAGGTATGTTCATCTTCTTAACATTTTGGGTGGATTTCATGTTCTACATCTAATCATCTTCTGATCTTAACTTCAATGGCAATATCTTACTATGTTTATGCATAAATTCTTACAGTTGTGATTGAAATTCTTAGTGAGTGAGAAATAAAGAGGTAACCCCATCAATGGTGATGGTGATAGTGGTAAGAATTTAAGTGGGACCCACCTAGGATTTTTCACTTTAACTGTGTATGTCCGGACAAGCTTGTGCCTTTCAGAAGTAACCCTGCGGGGTCTGAAGATGTCGGAACATCCCCAGTCACCCTTAGTAGGCTCGAACTAGCTTTAGCCTTTATTTGACGGTTGAGCTGACCCTCAAGATTACTATACATTATTATATGCCATTGTTATTTTTATTCGGTTCTAGTTTGATTTTCATGAATTGGGAGTTCAAAAGTTCATCGATATTTTTGGTGTAAGGTTGAACTAATTTGAACTTAAAAGAAATTATGGATTTGTGATTATTTTAAGATAGTTTTATAGTGACTAGGTGACTTGTTCATAGAGGATAATGGTCCAAGTTTGGCCTATGTGCGATTCAAACACGCCCCTTTAATGGATGTTAGAGAGTTTTGAGTCCTTTTAGATGGTAGACGTGGATTTTGATATCATGACTATGCATGGAACCTCATAAGATTATTGTTTAGTAGAGCCTTTTGAGTAGAGAAGCAAGATTCCAACATATATTGAGAAGAATAGGTCCAAGTTTAACCGACATGTGACTCCAATAAATGGATATCGATATAACTTTGTTGGTCTTTGATTTAGTTTCAGTTTCTTTTTGTTATTCAAAATAAACAAAAAGTGAACATTTTAAAAATGCTTGGGTCTTCAATAATTATAGAGGAACCTCTTATAGAATAATTTGTATCTTACAACTCCATCAATCATTATAAATGAGGATATGGAATACGCTCTCAAAATGTTTGGTACGTAGATGGAAAAGAACTAGATCGGCACACAGTGAGGTAGGTGGATAAAAAAATTGTGAAAGGTTGAGGGGGTGTTAATTTGACATGAGTAGTTTAGTAATTTATAACCTTGTTTCAGCTCTCAGGTTTTTGTTTCACCTATTTTGCTGGAACAAAAAAAGCATTTTTATCCATTTAAGGAGCCGTTTGGTTGGTTTTTTACTAAATCCTGTATGGGTAAAGTTGTGTGTGGAAGTATCTTTCTGTATAGATTGGGAAGGTTTTTGTTTGGGAGGGTTTTTTCATAGATGGAAGGAGTATGTTTTTTAATTGGGAGAGGCAGGTTTTGGAAAAAAAAAACCTTGGCTTTGTGCATAAAGCTTACCGAATAAGCCACTTTTTATATCATTAAACCACTACCAAACAATCATATATAATCGATCGAATAAGTTGTGAGTCTTATTAAACTCATTAAGCTGATAATAAACAGACCCTTAATACTGTTCAGCACTGTTTAGATATTGTTCCAGTCTAACATTGTATTAAACGTGAAAAAAGTGCATTTTTATATGTGCATATGTTCTCCAATTGAGCAGCCTTGATGCATTGGAACAGGCCATTCCTGATTCTGTTGCTGGACTCGAGAATCTTGAGGAGCTCAATGTTTCTGCCAATATCTTGGGTTCATTACCAGATTCCATCGGCTGTTTGCTGAAGTTGAAGATTCTAGATGTTTCTAGCAACAAGCTATCTTCCTTGCCTGATAGCATCTGTCAATGCAGGTACTTCCTTTTAGTTTAATTTTTGTAAACACAACTATCTATTACTGTATCTTTCTTGTTTACTTGCATGGCTTGTTTGCTGAAGACTGGTCTTAATTACTATAATATAAAATAGAACAAATATAGTTATAAAAAGGAGCGAACCTATTAAGAGCTGAACGGTCTTTCGTGTATCAGTTCAATGGTTTATAGCAAGAGAAAAAAGTTTAGCCGTCTGAAAGATGCACCCGCTTGATTTTGTGGGGTGCCCTTAATACTTTGAAACCAAATCTATAACATAAATTAAAAATGGATAGGATGGTTTGATTGTCACTTTATATACAAGAGGTCTTAGGTGAAAGTTTAGTTTTTATCTTTTAATCTTAGGCTATAGGCTGGCCCAAAGCATTTACTCAAAGCTCTACAATGCTATATCTGAAAATATTAAAGACGAAATATATATTTAGAAGGATTGAATTCATAATCTCAAATACAATTATAAGCAATACCACTGTGCCAAGACAACTTTTTGTTAATTTTTCTCCCATTTTGATTTTATTATTATTTTTTCATGATTTATTTTGTTTTCCGATGTTAATTCATCTTAAAATTTGTCACTTTTATCTCATTTTTAAGACATTTTGAAGGATCAAGGTCGATTCCATTTGAAAAAAATATTTTATTCCTCAAATTGACACATTGATTTTTTCCTAGATCAAATCCCGTTGACTTTCTCCCTAGGTCAAACCATGATTATGTGGACCTTTGATCCATATTAAAGGTGCATCCACTCAAAAAAATTCCTGGATCCGCCATTGATTATAAAGAACATGGTTTAGTTAAGAATGACATACAATTGTTTTTTCTCTTTTTTTTTATTTCTTTTCAGTCACTGATACCAATAAATGTTAGAGGGATTCAAACTTGCAACTTGTAATGCATCATGCAACAACACTATCCCTTCACTAGATTGCAACCACTTTTTTTCAACTTTGGGGAGGGGGACGCATTAATTTAAAGGTGGTACACGTTAAAAAAAGGAACTGAATGGATTTGAGGGATTTGGATTTTGGATTTCAAATTCATTCCAATCCATGTTTGGTTTGTTGGATTTTCTGATGATAGAAAAATGAGATGAGAGTTTTATGGTACAAAGAATGTTGTAATAATTGAAAAAGTGGTTGTTTTAGGTCATTGGTAGAATTTGATGCTGGTTTCAATAAGCTGACATATCTACCCACCAAGATTGGTTATGAATTAGTGAATCTAAAGAAGCTTGCAATCCCTCTAAACAAGGTGAGAAACTTCCCTACTTCCATTGGTGAAATGAAATCTCTTCAGTTTCTAGATGCACATTTCAATGAGCTACGAGGCCTTCCGAAATCCATCGGGAAGTTGTCGAATCTCGAGGTACTCAACCTCAGCAGCAATTTCAGTGATCTTACAGAACTTCCCGACGCGATTGGTGATCTGACCAACCTCAAAGAACTCGATGTCAGCAACAACCAGCTTCAGGAACTTCCCATGACCTTTGGCCGCCTTGATAAGCTGCAAAAACTGAACGTGGACCAAAACCCGTTGGTGATTCCGCCTAAAGCAGTGGTGGCGGAAGGGATTGGGGCCGTGAAGGTGTACATGGCTCAGCGGTGGTTCGATCTGTTGGTGGAGGAGGAGGAAAAGAGCAGGCGGGAAGCGGAAGCGATGGCTAAGGCGAGTTGGCTCACCCGTAGCACCTCGTGGTTGGCTGGAGCCGTTTTCGGCGCGGCTGGGACCGCTTCTCTATATTTCGGAGCTGGAGAAAGCGAAGATCCGTATCTTGAAGAGGAACGTTGATCAAATCGCTCGGTTTAAGTGAAATTTTTTATGGATATCGTCTCGTTAATCCGTGGGTCGGGTTTTGTTCTCGGGTCGAAATCTTAAAACATGTTTTGCAAAATAAACTGCAAATAATGTCTCTTTTAGGCAACATATGGTTTAGAGTTGAAGTGTTTTTGGGTGTTGAACATGAGGGCAAAATGGTCATTTTGTAGCCCCATAATTTTGATGTTTTAATTTGTCTTGTTTGTTAGTGAGTACTGAGTAGAATAAGCTTGGGATTTGGCATGTAATTTGCTAAACTTGATTCCATTTTTAATGTTTTTTAATTTATTTTTTATTAATTAATTGATTAACTTTTTGGATTTTTCTGTTTTTATTATATTAATCATTTGGCCTTGTGTTTAATGTTTATGTATAATATTTAAATACTGTAAACTGAATTAACAGATACCGTTAAGCCAAAGGTCCTTTGTGTGTTCATATGCTTATGGTGGTTGAAGTTTTAAATGACTTAAATCAGAGGTATTTACGAGAGTAGTATGTTTACTTTTTTAGTTTTTGCTCTTTAAGAAAGAGTTAAGGTAACCACAAGGGTGGTGCCTGATTGGTTTGAGCTTGATTCCAAAGGTCAAAAGTACCAGGAGGTCTCAGGTTCAAATCCAAGGAGGAATAAAAATTCTCTTGTGGCCATGGAGGTTCAAATACGGTGACTCCGGGCTATCTGCAAAACAGATGGTCGCTTTGGGATTAGTCAGCTCGCATAGCGGGTTGGATATCCAGGTTAATAAAAACAAAGTTAAGGTATGTATATACGTTCAAAATATGTTGAATACTAGAAAGATCCACGCTTTCCAAACTTATTTCCGAGTGTGCAAAAAAAAAGTCCACAATTTTTCAGGTCACATGTTTTTTAGACCTAGACTTTTGAAAAGAAATCCAGCTGGATTGGGGTTTTAGGCTTGGTCTCGGCCACGGTTTTTCGGCTTGGCTCAGACAAACTAAATGGCGTCGTCTAGGATAGGGCTAGCTCGGCCAAGGCTAGCTAGGTCCAGGCTCCTTTGGGCCGAGCGTTGTGCTTTTTATGCACCTTCATCCTGCACTCTACTCTACATGGAATACAGTGCATTCGTTTGATTTGGTTATGAATGGTCTTGTTACAATAGACAACGTTATAACTTTTTTTTATTAACCTCGATATCCAACCACTATGCGAGCCGACTAATCCCAGGGCGATTACCCTGGTATTTTTGACCTTTGGAGCCAAGCTCAAACCAATCAGACACCACCCTTGTGGTTTACAACGTTATACTTTTGTAACCAGAATGTCACAGATTCGTGTAAAAAGCTACTTTTTGTTTCTTTTTACAGAATATAAGAGCAAGATATATGTCGTGTCCTCTATCTTTATAAACGGAGAAGTATTTATGTATTGTTGCATATGAAGATGGTAATTCTTTTCATCATCCATCTATTAACGTATTAATCGTAGTTCAGTAGTGATATAAAATTTAAAACGTTGAATAATTCTAAGCATGTTCGAATACTTTTAAATCTTAACATAAATTTCAGACACATGGTTTAGTAAAAGTGTTTTAGAATTAATAAAAAAATTGAAGTGTTTACTAATAAAGATAAACAAAAACAGCAACTACTAGAATTATCAGTATTATATACTGATCGAAAATACAAATGATCATAAAAAAAATGAAATGTTGCAATAGACATCGCAATGAGGTGGGGATGGGGCGAGTTTTGTAATCCTCGGCCCCGGTTTTTAGTAACAGCCCCTGGCCCTAACGGGTACGAGGATTAACATCTCGTCCTCGGTCAGACTTCATGAAGAATATTCGTTAGTTTGAGTCTACCGGGGATCCTTGGTCCCGGCCCAACCCTGGTTTGAGTCTACCGGGGATCCTCGGCCCCGGGACCCATTTTAGCGGGGAATCCCCGTTCGGGTCAGGTGAGTCGGGTTCCCCACTGGGTCGGGACAAATCACTATCCTTATGTTGCATCGAACTGAAACAAAGTATAAAGGAGCATCAATAACTGTAATTACGCAAACCAAATTGTGCCAACTTGAACGAGATTTGATAGCTGAATGAGTGTTGTTATTAAAGGCTCGAGACAGACACGAGTCTGATTCAATAACTCAAAATCATCGATAAGAACATGAAAATTCGAGTTTAAGTTCCAATTACTTGGAAGTTTATTTATTATATATTTCAAGCTCATATTTATATTCAAATTTACATAAAATTTGAAATAACAAAAGCCGTCGCTAAGCACACAAACTACGAAGTAGAATGAAACCGTTCTAACAATAAAACAAAACTTTGAAAAATCCGGTGGAAAATTCAACGTGATTTAATCTGAGAAAAGTCAATTGTACTGATTTGGGAAACAAAAATACATTTTTCTAAATGCAATCAGTCTTTTGAACAAGATGCAAGATCATGTCTTGGGCACACGATCGATGTGTTTTTAACCAAATTCCACCATTCTGAATGATTTTCTAAGTTTTTCTGATTGATTTCAAAAGCACTTTTTCGTTTTTTTTTTTTATTTTAAGAGACTTTTTCGATTTTTTTTATTAATGTTCCATGTATTTTGTTTTAATATCATAAAAGCATTCTTTAAAGTTTAGGCCTACCCCGTTTTTATTTCGCAACATTTTATTGAATACTTTTATTTACTAACTGCGTTACGTCAACTATATACATACATTTGAGTTCAAAATATAAATTCTACAATGTTAGATTTTCAAAATTTAACGGGCGGAACGTTTATCCGATAAGAGTTTATCGGTAAAAGTCAACACTCTCGCTAATTTTATTGGGTAAGATTGTAGTCCATAAAAACGGTATCGTATGCAACAATCTACATGGTAAGTGATTACCGGATAAGTATTTAGTAAATGGCCCTAAGGGTCTGTTCGTTAGCAGCTTGTACTTTACTCGGTCAACTATACTTGACTGTTTGATAGTGACTTAATAATATAGATAGTGGTTTATTCAGTAAGCTTCTAAGAGGGCTTTTGTAAAAAACAAAAAAATTCCACACCTACCCCTCCAAATTAAAAAACACGCTCGTTTCCCCTCCCAAACAAACATCTTCTCAATCTACACAAACAACTTTATCTATACAAAACTTAATAGAAAACCAACCTAACAAAAAACCATAAAATTACAACCGTCTGAAAATATATACTTGTCATGTTCTTTTTGTTTTATTATTATTTTATTAATATTCATAGTTTTATTTATAAAATAGAGCTGAATTGTGGTCAAAGATGGCATCCCAGAAGTAGACAAAACAAACCTATTTATTTCAACCAATAACGGTTTGAGCTTGGCTTCAAAAGTCAAAAGTATTGGAAGATTTTAGGTTCAAATCCAAGAAGAAATAAATCCCCTTATAACCACGGAGGATCAAATATGATGACTCCAAGTCATCTATAAAACAGATGGTCGTCTTGGGATTAGTCGATTCGCATAATGGATTGGATATCCAAGTTAATAAAAAAAACATTTATTTCAAGATTATTAAATTAATAAAATTGGTGTCTTATAGCCCACCTATCCATTTGACTTCAGAACCTATCAACAACCACCACCATCATCCTCCTCCATCTTCACCCCAACACCATCAAAAAAGCATACAAATTATACAATGATCACCAGACCAACCACCACCGGAACCACCGTGTCATGCTTGTTCTTCATGGTTTCTTCATTCTACATCTTGATGTTTCATAACGACCACGGTGGATTACGGTGGTCGTCATGTTACGTGTATTACGTTCTGGTTGTGGGCGTGGTGGTGGTCGCCGGATTGGCGGTGGTTATGGCAAGAGCCACCATGGTGACGCTGATAACGGTGTTGGTGATGCTGGCATGTGCAGGGAAGCACCGCCGTGTGCTGGTGGTGGAAGGTAGACAGATCAGTGGTGAAGTTGTAATGTATTTGTTGAGAGTGATGAAAGAGAGAAGCCTTGTGGCTGTTGCTGGTGTTGCTTTTGTGACCTCAATGGCCATGGTTTGGACTTCTTAGACAAGAAGTTTATTTATATTATTTAACATTTTTTTATTAATTTTATATTAGAAAATGGTTGGTTTTATATATATATATATATATATATATATATATATATATATATTGTTGATATGAACTTTTTAGAAGGTAATTGTATCCAACTATTTGTGTATACCATTCCTGTTGTTTTGATAGATTACTTAGTTCTGTATTTTCTAAGTTTGGCGGATGTGAGATTCTAACACACCCTTTCAATGGAGGCTAGACGGGCACAAAGTTGTGCCCAGAGTGTCGAGAGTAGACTAGACAAGTGAGGGGGATAAACGAGTACAAATTGTCTAGCGTCGAGTTCATGCAGTGGTAGACATCGACTCTGATACCATATAAGAACATTTGAAACCTCATTTTGGGTCTGTTTGTTAGCAGCTTAATGACCTTAATGGGGCTCACAGCTTATTCAGTCAGCTATACATGACTGTTTGGTAATGGCTTAATAATATAGAAAGTGGTTAACTCGGTTAGCTTTATGCAGAAAGCCAAGTATTTTCCATCCTACTCCTCCCAATTTAAAAAAAACACGCTGCTTCTATCTACGAAAAATCCTCCCAAACAAAAATCTTCTACAGACAGATTAATCCACAAGAGTTAATGGAAAACCAACCAAATAGCCCCTTAATTACTCTCCAAGAGAGGCCTTAATAAGAGACGAGAGGTTCCAACATATAATGAGAATAAATGGTCTAAGTCTAGCCGATGTGGACTCTAGCACGCCCCCTCCACCGAAGACTAGACAAGGACAGAGTGTCGAGAGGGGGCTAGACATATACCGGTTGGCCAGAGTATCGAGTCTCTAAAGTGATAGACCTTGGCTCTGATACCATGTGAGAATATGTGAAACCCTATAATTACTCTCCAAAAGAGTGGTTGTGGAGACGTGAGAGTTCAACATATACTAAGTATAAATGGTCCAAGTCTAGCTGATGTGGGACTCTAACAAGTTCAAAGAAGAACGATTGACACCAGGACTACATATTACGTTTTACACGAAATTGCCAGGTTCCATCACATTTGGTTCTTCAAGGGGGCATGCTATGTGGCAACCCATCCTAAATTGGTTATGAATTGAACTTTTAATTCCCTTGCAAGTTTTTGGTAATTTCTTATCACGGGTTTAATTGATTTAAAGATTATTTGGTCCGTCTATTATTTTGGGCTTAAGGTGTTAAAAATGGTACAATATGCCCCTTGAGGTGTAGGGATATTGATTCTAAGGGGCTTATATTAATTGCTCACCACCTCTTACTAGGTGAAGTTGTTTACCATACATTCTGACCAACAGATGATATGGACTCGGTAAAGAAGAAAAGACTCTCTTACTTGTCGGTGCTTACCCTTACCACACTCTTAACCAGCTATTGCTTAGCCAATTTGTGTTGGTAATCGACCCCTAAATCTGTATCAATTTTTGCGTTGACCTGATGAGCAACCCCACTTCCTTTGTCAGTTTAAGTAATGGATTTCTAATAACTTCTCATCAAGTCTGCATACATCCCTCCACCCAACTTTTAACGAGTTATACCGAGTCACTTTGGTTTGGTTTTTTAGATCAATCTACTTTGGGCTTAGGCGTTACATGTCGTAACCTTCCTCCTTGTTACCAAGACCATAAAATAAAATCAACAAAAGGGAACTCCCTCACAATAAACAACCTAACTAGTTTTCGAATTTCCACAGAATGTGCAGTGCAATGTGAAGAACATTGTGCATATTTAAACTACTTTTCAGATGTAACCTGCAGTTATTTGGAGCATATTAGCATAATGTTTGAATTAGGACAAAAACAGTACAAAAAACCAAATAAATCTCATATTTATACTTGAACATATGTCTTCAAGAACACTTAAAAGGGTTACAAAGATATTGTGCAAAAAAAATCAAAATGAATTCAACTTTGCAAGCAAAATCAGAAGAGACGAGACGTGTTTGTGTTAATACATAAAGGGTATGTACCGTATGTACAAGTATACACTTCCAAAAACATTGCAAAACCTTTTTTAACATTTGAAAGAACTACAAGTAGGCAATAAAAGGGTGGGGTGGTGGCATATAAAATCCATGTAATGAGTTCAACATTCATAAAATGGTTGTGATTTCTGCCTAGATTATGGACTCACCTTGTCGTTTCTCAGAACTACAGCGATGCCTGCGCTAGGCTTCGCGTTTTTGCTGCCAGTTTTGAACTTGTGAATGAGAAGAGGTCCAGGGCTACGTACTGTTGGTTCCTGCTCTCCACCTCTCCTGGAAATGTGCATATATTTTTATATATCTGGAAATGGGGCAGGTTCAAATGAGAACCGTAAACATTTTGAGAACCTGAGAACCAACTATTCATATCATGAATAATGAAAATTTTGATATTCATCATGAATTATACATGAATACTTTAGGGTTATTGAACATGAACAATTCATGAAATAGTTGGTTCTCAAATTCCGAAAATATTTACAGGTCTCAGTTGAATTTTCCCCTTCTGGTAGCATGCTCAAATGAAACCCAAATATCAGATTCGAAGGTTGGAATAGTTAACATGGTGATGCTTACATCTTAGAAGAGTGAGAACCCGAGAAGGTTGCCTCAGAGATATTGACTTTACAGATGTTAGCAACTTCTTTACGAGTTCCAGGAGGAAGTTTGTTCAACATATTCGAAACAATTAAACCATGTTTCTTTTTTAGTTCATCCAACTCTTTCTGCTGCTCAACCAACAGATGCTCAACTTTTTCCACTATGTTTTCGACTTCATCATCTTTATCTTCTCCTTTCCCTTTCCTATCATCGTCGTCTTCTTCTTGTAAAGGTTCTTCCATCTCTTTCACATCATCACTATCATCATCATCATTATCATCGTCATTATCATCATTATCATCGTCATTATCATCATTATCATTGTCATCATCATCATCATCATCATCATCTTTACTTGAATGTTGTTCTTCTCTACATATTGCTCCTGATTGTGTGTTATCTTCAGAGGCATTTGAAGGTCTTGGTCTAAGTGGAGAAAAACAACTTTTGGGTGAATCACTCCAATATCTCCGACCTGAAGGCAACCTTTCTAGAGCTAAACATCCAGGTGCAGCACTAGATTTAATGGTCAAAGGGGATGTGGATTCATTTTGGGGTTCAGAGGTGGAGTCGACAGAGCCTGGAGCTTCATTGTCCTCTTGATCATCGTAGTAATCCCTGGGTGCCCAATCTGGAATACACGACTGAATTTCTGCATCAATCATTTCAGCGATTGTGGAGACATCTTGATCTGTTAAGTCCAGCTCTTCAACCATTTCACTAGCAACAGCAATTGATGTATCAAGATCGGTATCAAATGGAAAGTGAATATTCCGAACATGGCCTGGCCCACAAAGCAAAACCTCAATAGTCAAGATTGATAGAAACATATAAAATTGGAAAGGGATCTGAAACTATAAAAATAAGCAAAGATCAACAGACAACCTGTGGTATCTTCTATTCGTAGTTTTAGGAATACTGTGTTCAGGTCTTTCATATGACCCTTCACTGTGAAATCTCTAGCACTATCAAGAGGCATAAACTCCTTTGGAGTTTTGCCATTGTCAAGCTTCTCAGCATCACGATCTATAAAAATCCATCAGAAACTGGGGAAGGAAAAATGAGAAATATATTTTAAAGTGCATTGCAGATGTTACCTGGATTGGGATTGAGATTGGGTTGGCCTGGCTTATTCACACCATCAATATGATCATCACGCAGAAATGGATCCATCAGCAATTCCTTGGCAGATAACCTATCAGAAACCTTAGCGATACACTTCTCTATAAATGATTTGACTCCAGGATCCTTCACTTTTGCTAACGACGCTGGTTTGACACCCTAACGAGATTGAAAAAAGGCAAAGGATATACATGTAAAACCAGTTTCATAAATGCAAAGGATTATAAGTAGATAATAGCCAAAGACATCAACTCCCAGACTACACAACATGACATATTGCCCCTTTAGTCATTGATCAAATGATTCAAATCCCATAGATTCACCTTAACATGACAACTTTGGCTTCCGTACTTACCAAGTTACCATGCTGAAGAATTCATATCTTCAGGGATCAATGTAGCCTTAAAGCTAAATGAACTCATACAACTTTCGAATAATATTTTCTAACTTGGTGAATCGTGATTGTGGACCAAATTGCCACACTACGCCATTTTAGCACGGAAAGAGAAACAACGCTGTGAACAAGGATTTGCCAGCAATCATCTAAAGTGCATAAACCTTATGTAAAAAACTTTTTTCATAATATGATTGTTCCACCGATTTTAAGTGCAGCACTTACTATTCCAAAATGCCCCAAACTAAACACAAAATTTATGTTTTCAAATGTTCAACTTGACTGAAATACATATGAATACACTTTATCATGACAGAAGTAGCAATACAACATGAAGTACATATGGGTCCCACCATACTCCATTCTTTAATTTGCGAAGTCAGGATCCTGTACAAAAATTCATAATCCTCTCTTTTGGCTAATCTAATGCATACCAATCAAAAGTAGATGTACAATGAACTTATATCCCAGGAACTTACTAGGAACTGAACAATTGCCTTAGCATGCAGGGATTACCAATCTAGATAGAACAGATTCTAATACTGGAAAACCACCAACATTTGAGCCACAGTGACCATTTACGCCACAATGAAATACTGATTTTACAAGTTAAATGGCATTACTCAATTGCCACCCTTAATCACACTCCATCCTTGTCACATGCAATATAAAGGTCCATGTATATACACACATGTAACCAGGGGTGGATCTAGTGCATGGTGGTAGGGGTCCTAGGCCCCCAACAAACTCACCAATTTAAAATAAAGTTATAAAAAGATTTGCTTAGTAAAATTTTCTTATTGTGCGCCCAACAAGAACTAGGCAAGAGCCCCCAACAAGAACAAGACAAGCCCCCCTACTTGATATCCTGATTGTTAATTGGTCCATTTATAGCACACACTGATATTTTTGTTCAAAATATAAAAATATAAAAAATATACACCTCGATGAATTAGTAAAAGGTCAACTGAAAATTGACCTGAATAAGTTATCTTTATTCGGTTAATTGAACCGTTTAAGCCGAAAAGGAAAACCCCAAACCGTTTTCATCCGGATGAATTATTTGGTTTTGAATTTTTTTTTTCAACACCCATAAGTGTGCCCCCAACTATAAAAGTTTCTGGATTCGCCACTGCATGTAACCAAGTGGCCTTGAGCCCAACGGGAGTAATCAAATCTCTAAACCCTTAAGCAATGAGTTTGAGTCTCTTGGAAGACATATCTACATGAGTTCCTTTTGTCGTTTAAAAAGAAGGATATGCATACATATAACTTACACTGCAGGTAAGTATGGAAATGAAAGAGCAGATGGTCATCAATCACTTACTGATGTCACCTTCTTATATATCTGAGCAGCATTGGCACATTCAACATACGGATACTCAAATGTCACCAATTCCAGTAAGCACATTCCAAAGGCATATATATCTACAAGTTCATTGTATTCCTCCTCATAAAGCTCTGGTGCCATGAACTCCGGAGTACCTAAATATTAGATAACAATCATCATGGATCAATAGCTTTAATCTTTATTGTAATCACTGTAGATCACATTCAGAAAGAAGAAACTATGTCATCAGAAGAAACCATGCACTCACCAATGACGCTGTGAGCAGAACGAGCCTGGCGAAGAATGGCTGCCAGTCCAAGGTCCCCAATTTTTACCTCTCCTTGATTCCCATTGACAAAAATGTTGTCACACTTAAGATCACGATGTATAACCGGAGGATCATGACTGTGAAGATACAGAAGTCCCTCCAATATTTGTTTAGACCACTTCTTCAATGCTCTTAGATCTACATGCTTATGTTTCTTGCGATATCTATAAAAATTCCAAACATGCTCAGAACTACATGCTTAAGTTTCCTGCTTGTACCTATCAATGTTTAGAACATTGTCTCTACACGGAGTACATGACAAGAGCATATGTTAGCAACGAAATACACAACCAGAAACGAATTGAACTTACTGTCTTAATGTTCCAGATGTGAAAATCTCAGTAATAAAGTTGATGTGCTCGTTGGTCGTATCAACCCAAGAATTGTAAAATTTGATTATATTCTTGTGCTTAAGCGTTTTAAGCAAATGAACTTCTGAGTATAGCCGCTCCAGCTCATCAGGGTTCCTTAAGAAATCAGAAAACTTTATTTGATTCCAAGCTACTTCAATTCCTTCCAATTCATCAAATGCTTTATATCTAATTTCCAGCATCTGTCAAGGAATCAAGAATACCTCCAGACGGACGATCATGTAGAACAGAGCTACAATTAGGCTTTTGATATTGAACCTAGTAATTTCCAATTGCAAATTTGATGTGAAACACCAAATTATCCTACTTGTAATAATTACGATGATAAAGTTCAACGTTGATACACAATCCATATCATATATGAAGGTGAAACGTTGGCATCCAATGCCAAAGGCAGCTTTTTGATTGTTATATTTCTTAAATAAAGGACTATAAAACAATAATGCAAAAGAAGGATACACTTTTTTGAAAGCCCCCTTTCCCAGCACTTCTTTATACTGCAAATTGTCTCAATCCGACAATCAAATTAGAAACGAATCATAATCTAATAAAAACTGTCAAATCAACGTAAAATTCAATATAAAATTAAAAATAATCAAACGTACTAACCCGACCATAACGACCAGAAGGATCGATCTCAACAAAATCAGTATCGGAATCGTCCGGTTCATGATCTGATATCGACGATTCCAATGGCATTTCTGTATGTTCTTTTTTTCGTAAAACCCTAACTCTTACGAAACAAAACCAGATCAACTCCTAAATTAATGTAATTTCAACAAAATTCGACAAACAATTTCGATTTCTGTCCGGGAAAACCTGCCGCCGGCGAGCCAATCATGAACTGAGGGTTCCGAATTTCTATTAATTTCTGCAAATTAAGCGTGAAATGGAAGAATTTGAATACATGAAGAAGGAGGAGTCGTGAGAGATCCAGAAGAAGTTTGAGGAAATCAGCTTACTAAATTGTTCGGTTTTTTGTTCAGATCAAATCTAATAAAAAAGACGTTAATTTGGAAGCATTATGGAAAGTCAATTGGGAATTAACACATGAAAGATTCATTAAATTACAAGAATCACCCCTCAACTATTTATAAGTATGCATATTTTTTCTTCTACGAAAAATAGTTGCTTTTTTGGTCATTGAGTGAATATTTTTATTTTTTTATCGGATACGGTTTTTTTCCCTATTTGTCTAGTGCTTAAATTTTATAGTATTAAATCATGAATTAAATAATTTTCCCTCTCTTTAATATTTGTTTTATTTTATAGATCTGTATCTTTGTTACTGATATCTTGTCTAATATACCAGTAATAATATATTTCAACCATAAAATGGTGTTTGATTAGTTTGAGTTTGAGCTTTAAAGATCAAAAGTGTCTTGAGGTCCAGGTTCAAATCGAAGGAGAAATAAAAATTCCCTTGTGGACACGAAGTTTCAAATGCGGTAACTCCGAGCTAAGGGTGCTCATGGGTTGGATTGATCGGGTTGAAGATATTTGAACAACCCAACCAAATGCTTGCGGTTTGAAAAATCTTAACCCAACTCAACCCAAACCAAAGTGCAACCCAACCCAAACCAACCTGTACAGGTTGGTTGGGTTGATACTTTGGTATATTAAAATATTATTCTAACCTTGAATATGTTATTTTTCTACTCATAATTTCTTTTCATCATCAACCATTTGATACAACTTATTCATACTTTTTACGTATATCACATTCAGTTAATTTTCTCAATTTACATATATGTTCATAGTTACTAAACATATATATGAATGAGTTATATAGAGATTAAATAGATTGAAAATATGTGTATATGAAGAGCGTGCATGATAGTGTAACTGTCTAATGTACATATTAATAGAAATTTAACGATCATATTAAATTCAAGAAATAAAAGGATATCGGGTTCATCGGGTTGGGTTGGGTTGGGTTGGGTTCAAATAATATCAACCCAATAGCTAGGGTTTGAAAATTTTACAACTCGATTAGACATCGGGTTGCTTCGGGTTGAGTTATTTTGCGTTGGGTTGATCGGGTTTTTGGTGATTTTAGTGAATTATCAGATCATTTTGTATGGTCAGATTCAAAAAAGAATGAAAATGGTTCATAATTAAGTTATAATATGAGTCAGGATGCGCGGACTGCACACTTGTATGAGCTAAGGTTGTCGAATGTTGTCATATGGCGGGGTCCGGGGGCGTCACCCCCTTGCAGGGCCTTAGGGGCAATACCTCGAAACTTAAAACAATATGCACCAAGTGTTATTAGAAATAATGTTCAGAAAACCACGTACTTTCTAAAATTGGTAAGTCTAAGGCTGGTTTTATAAAATATGCTTTTTAATATTAATTAGGTCAGAAGACGTTCCCTTCAGAGGGTCAAACTTGGATTACAGAAGTTAATAAATAGCCTTCTAGACTTTAATGCAAATACCATTTTGTAACTGAACGATATACTTCCTGTAACCATTACCTATTAACGGTGCATTCACTTTTTTGTTTTGATATAACAAAACCTTACAACACTGTGTCTAAAAAGCTCTCAATTTCTGCCAAAATTTATACCGTGAATTGAGATTATCCTCAGCTAAATTTTATGTAATCGAAACATTATAGGATCGAAATACTGCTTAAAGTAAGCGATCTTTTACGAGAAGTCATGGGGGTTGGGGGGGATATCTTCCAGCCACCAAAATGTGAACTATTTGATAGAGGGACGGATTATGATTAAGAGGTATTAAGGGATACATTTACCACTTAAAATTTCAGAAGACATTTAGAGATCTTAAACTCTTATTTTAAAAATAAAACAAACACTCTTAATATCTAAACATCTGAATGAATCAAACTTCAAAGGTATTAAAAGGTAATTTGAAAAACAGAAGCAGAAAAATCAAAACACCATATAAAAAGTGATCACTAATCAATAAAAAATTTAAAAGTGAGATTTGGTGTTGATTATGTGACATGGCATCCAATACCTACACAATACCTTGGTCACCATCAACAAGTAAGAATGAAAGCCAATAGAAAATTGTATTTGACTAAAATACAAGTCAATTTTGTCTTTTTCTCCTCTTACCAAGGGTTCGTTTGTTTACTTCTTAATAATTCTAATAAGAGACAATTTTTGAATCGTTATATAATAAGATAATCTTAATCATTCTGACCACTTAATCATTTTGCACCAAACCATTCAGCAACTGTCAAACAACCCATAAAAGTTTTAGGTATTATTTTATTTTGATCATCAGTCTTGTTCTTTAATAGAATTTCAGTTTAATTATATATACATATATAATATTAATCTTAAGAATATAATGTATCAATCAAATTTGTTTATGATAATAACATAGGTTTTAGATGCACAAAAGCAGACATATTTTTTTTTGCAGTATATAATATTTATACACAACAAATGCAACAAATGTTTCACACCTTTCTCACATTTGGTGAGGTTTGAACCCCTGATCGTCTAGGAGGCCAGAGACTACGATACCGCTAGTACAAAGACCCTTTTGGTAGCAAACATAATTGTTATAAAAAAACGTTACACACTTTGCAATAAATATGATAAGTTCGTTGTACTAGTTCAATTGTATGGTATGATATGCTCATGTTACTACATAAACGTTGTATGTGAACCCAATTAACCGGGTAAGATTCGCTACACTAATCAATCTCGCTCGTAGTGCAACATGGTAAAGGTAGAACAATACCTTCTTTCGTGTACGTGTTAACTCATGCCATAGACAGATCCAATCCATCAGCATTCACTGTGTTGTGGTTGTCAAATATCGTACTTTTTTGGGTTGTTGGGTTCTAGCATCGTTGAGTACTACATGAATCCCCACTAACAAAGAGGTTTTAAGTAAGAACACCAAGATATGATGTTGAAAATCAGTTCATAATAACAAAAATATAACACAATAATCAGGTAATATGTTAATGCTTCAACCGGTTACCCGGATTGATGTAGCGAGTGATGTGGTATCCAACTCAGTATTATTTGTTATTCAACTCAATTTCATCTCATCATTCGTCACATCAACATGGTAACATGTTAATGCTTCAACCGGTTATCCGGGTACTTAAACATTTAAAACTTTACATCTTATATACTAAAATAAAAGTTAAAGTACATTATTTTTTCATACAATTTTAAGAGGAAAAGATGGGCAGGTCATTGTTTTTAGAAGGACAAATTCAAATCAACATAAGACTAAAATTTCTGTGGGACTTTTGTTCAATTCTTTGTGACCAAAAAGTAGTAGTATTTAATTAGGGATGCAAAATGCTCATACTTTTTGATGTTGTAAAATTCTTTAAAATAGTGAATTATAGATTTGGTCCCTGTATTTTCATGTTTTTTTGTTTAGGGTCCCTGTAGTATGTTAATTTATGAATTTGGTTTTTCTGTGGTATTCAATTTGTTATGGTCATGGTCTCTTTGACTAATACAATTAAGATAAACCTGTTAACTTAATTAAATCAAGGGTTATTTTAGTCATTTTTTTGCCTATTTTTTTCTTTTTCTTATAGAAAAGGGTAAATTGTATGGAAAAGTAAACGTACTTTAACTTGATTCTTATTTTGGGTAACGTACTTTCAAAACTTTCATTTTGGTACCTAAAATGTAAAGTTTTAAACATTTAAGTACCCGAGTAACCGGTTGAGAACTAATTTTAGATTAAAAAAAAATTCATGTCACTAACCACGTCACCAAATAATACTGAGTTGGATATACCACATCATTCGCCACATCAACATGGTAACCGGTTAATGCTTCAACCGGTTACTTGGGTACTTAAATGTTTAAAACTTTACATCTTAGGTACCATAATGGAAGTTTTGAAAATACGTTACCTAAAATAGAAATCAAGTTAAAATACGTTAATTTTTCATGCAATTTGCCCCATAAAAAGTAAATAAAATAAGCTGTCATTTGTGATTTGATGTGTTTAGATTAAAAAATTAGTCACACTGAAAGAAATTTATTTAGGCTGAATGATACGAACCTGAATCTGAATTTACTGTGTTTTTTTAATTAAGTTTCTTGGTCAAGAAGTACAATTATTCTTGGGCTTAGGATGAGACAGTGACCTTCGTTCAACCATTAACTCCAGTAGTAATTGATTCCTTTATTATAAATACTGTAATTCCCTTTTGGCAACGATAATGAGAAAATTGTTCCAAAACACTGTTCTTCTTTTAATATTATAACAAGGTTGTCTGGGACAACTGCGACGGTTCATATCATAGACTGGCAACGATGTGGCATAAATACTGATTATTTGAACATTTGCAACGGTTCAAAGCGGCGCCAAATGTGACAAGTGTCACAGATGTCAAATAGTGATTATATTATGTTATCTTAGGTTGAGTTGCTACAAAAATACGATTTTGGTTTCTTGAAATCTTTGTAAACTTGTTAATCCACTGCGACTATCACCAACTGTGTATCGTTGATAATCGAACTACATACGTTTCTTTATTGTATCTTGCAAAGTGATTCGCCAAGAAACTTGAACAATATACTAATGGGGGCGAAATTGTCTTAACGATAGAGAGAGCTCGCCTTGAAACGATAAGTAGTATTCTTTGTATGATCATTTTTCTGGACTTATATTTTAGCAACCAAAACCAACATTTTGGACGCTACCCTCAGCTCAGTCCTTCAAAGCCCGTTTTCAGTAACCAAACAAAGCCCATGTTTTTGGGCCCATAACGAGTTTTGGGAACGAAAGAGGGCCAAATCATGCCTTCTCAGATTGGCCTTTTCGGACTTAACCATATTTTTTGTGCTTTTTCAGGGCAGACTTTAAATCGACTTTGAAAAAAGTTGGTTGGAACGAGTTTTAAGGCCAGGCCTAGGCCTATACTAGGGCTTTTTCTGAGTTGGTCCGAGCTCTTTTATGCATCTCTACTTGTCATAAACATAATATATTATCTTAATTGCATTAAAAACATAATAACTTTTTTTAAAAAAAATCAAGTTTTTTAAAATAGGTTCTTTAAAACACACACACACACACACATATATATATATATATATATGTGTGTGTGTGTGTATAGGACGATTCTTAAATGAGAACCACAAAAAGGTTGAGAATCTCGAGAACCGATCACAATCATTAATTGCATTAATCTACGGCTACGAAAGGCGTTGGCATTTTTGTGAAAATTTTAAAATTTGAACTAATTATTGGATAAATGACAAGCTGAAAGGGGCATTCAAGTCATTTAACATCCAATCCAGCACCGTGTCTTCTTTCTCCTACAGCCTCAAATGGAATGTCACTTTATCCTTCCCTTTTTCATTCTTGAACTGGAAACCAGATCCATATCCATATCCAGATCCAAATCCAGTTGAAATGACATTTTTGTGTTCGACCGTGAAGAAAAAACAAATCCAAAGCGGCTCGAGATGGTCGTGTAACCTAATGATCGATTTAGAGCTTCTTCAACAACATAAATCTTACATCGCCGTTGTCGTGCATTCCAAAACTGTGTGTTGATTTCATGGAGTGAAATAACATATAGACGAAAATTTTGATTGATTTCATGAGGTGAAATAACATATAGACGAAAATTGTGTTTGATTTCATAAGATGAAATAAATTATAGATGAAAATGTTGTTTGATTTCCTGTGGTGAAATAACATATATGAACATTATGTTTGGATTTGATAAAGTAAAATACATATTTATAAAAATCATGTTTTATGAACAGTATATGTTTCATTTTATGAATCTCTGCTACCAAAATGACGATTATACCAATTTTTCAATCAGAAAAATTTAAACTAAAACCATATAATTTAACTAATATATATATATATATATATATATAATATAATGTAATTGATTTATAATTAAAGTTGTGATCTTAAAAGATATGTTTGATGGATCCAACGATTGGGCATTCGGATTGTTGAACCCAAGGACCGAAGATGACTCACACGACTTGGACCAACATCCCCCACCTCATATTTTAATAAAAAATTAATTAATTCATATATATATCGGCTCATTTAAGAAAGAACTGATTAATTTGTGATAACTGTGAGATACAATTTCAACCACAAATCAATAGATAAATTAGAAAATTTATAATTTTGGTAAACTTGAATTAAAATTTTAATGCAAGAACATTTTATGTATTTTCTCTTCTCTCTCCATCCCCCGTCCTCCGGTGATACCGCTATGATATCTAAAAATATTGATTCTGTTAAACAAAAGACACAGTGTGATACTCAAGCACATATAAGATGCATTGTGATAACACTTTGTTACATCTTCGATTGACCACATAAACGACCTTAGTGTGATATCCAAACATATATAAAATGCATTGTGATACCACTGTGGTATCACTAGAGGCTGGGGGACGGAGAGAGGAGAGAAAATACCTAAAATGTTCTTGCATTAAAATTTTTAATTCAAAATTATTAAAATTATAAATTTAAAATTTATCTATTGATTTGTAGTTGAGACTGGACCTTACAGTTGCCACAAACTAATTAGTTCTCATTTGATTAGACTCATATATATATATATATATATATATATATATATTATTTGAGAAATGGTAAATATTTGAGAAATAAATAAGTGATTATAACCCTTTATTTGGTCAACATTAACGATTTTGGTTGTGAAGCATCGAATAATTCCTCACATGGGTATGTAAAAGATAGAGGGGTAGTTTTATAACTTTTATAAATAGACGAAAAACAGGGTTCATATGTGAATCCATGTGATACACATATTAATTATATGTTCATATATGAACTCGTTTGCTGTCTATTTGTAAAAGTTACAAAACAATTCTCTTTATTTTTCATATAGCTACAGTTTTGATCAGCCAAAGACGTAATCATTGACTAGTCAAATCCAATCTTATCGTATAAAGTGTTATGATCACTTCTTTACTTTTCAAAATACATTTGGCTATATATACACATGTTTATGTGTGTGTATATACATTTGGCTATATATACACATGTTTATATATACATTTGGCTATATATACACATGTTTACGTTTTTGGTTCTTGTGGAATGTTATTCACTATCAAGTTTGGTCATTCTTTTAAACTAATTACAATTTCGTCATCGTAATTGTCATTTTCTTTCCATTTTGGTCCCTCCCCTATTTAAAAAGGTTGGTTAATTTTTTTTATGTGAAATAATATCAGTTTATGACCTATAATATCTGTTAATATGGTAAAATAATGATAATATCCAAAAAACTGCAACACACATTTATACTGTGAGCAGTTAATTTTTTATAAAGGAATAAATGCTGACATTTACAAACGAAAAAAAAAAGGTACAATTTTTCTTTCAATGTATCAACATCAAAATACAATGAACCAATTAAACAAAACTATACTATATGAATTAGTTATTAAAAAACATACAAAAAGTTGTGCCCAAAAGTATAAATAAATGCATACTGAAGCTGTGCCCAAAAGTATAAACAGATGCATACAAAAGTTGTGCCAAAAAATATAAACAGATACATACAAAAGTTGTGTCATTACCAATAAAGTCTGATACATGTAACCTTTTTTTGGTCGAAATGAAGTATTTAAACAATTTTTTTATTAATATGGATATTCAACCCGTTATGCAAGACGACTAATCCCAGGACGACCACCTGCTTTGCAGATAGTCCGGAGCCACTGCATTTGAACCTCCGTGGCCACAAGGGGATTTTTTATTCCTTCTTGGATTTGAATCTGGGACCTCCAGGTATTTTTGAACTTTGGAGTCAAGCTCAAACCAATCAGGCACCACTCGTGTGGTAAACGATTATAGATTGAAAAAACAGTTCAGGTACTTAATCACTTGAAAATAGAAAAGTCAATTGGGTATACTGATTATTGGTAAAATTTTCTGATCAAATCATTTCTTTAATCGATTTTACAAAGTTTAACGGTTTAATCACTCAAAATTGAAAATTTCAGTGATTTTTTTTTCTGGAATTTTCTCTATGTTCTTGTAGCGTACCATTTACGCTACCGGAATAAACGGGTGTATCGGACGATTATAAGACGAAAATGTCATACATTTAACGGAATCTTTTAATAACCATTAAAGAAATACTAAATCTAAACGTTTTTACAAAAAAACAAATTGCATGAAAAAGTAACGTACTTTAGCTTGATTCTTATTTTGGGTAACATAATTTCAGAATTTCCATTTTGGTACATAAAATGTAAAGTTTTAAACATTTAAGTACCGGTTGAAGACTAATTTTAGATAAAAAAAATCCATGTCACTAGCCACGTCAACAAATAATACTGAGTTGGATACCACATCAACATGATAATCGGTTAATGTTTCAACCGCTTACCATGATACATTAATGTTTAAAACTTTACATTTTAGGTACCAAAATAGAAGTTTTGCAAATACGTAACAAAAAATAAGAATCAAGTTAAAGTACGCTACTTTTACAAGACACAATAATAATAATAATCTTATAACTTCAATTTTGTAACAACATAAACTGTTATTTTAACAAACCACGAGAACTAAATTTGTAATTTACTCTAATCATTTTCTATCTGTTTTATATATAAAAATAAAATAAAATAAATTTTTTTAATTATATTATAAAATATTAAAAATAATTAAAAGAAAACATAACATTATTCTTTTGTGACTGGTCACGAGTCGGTGTTTTGTTTGACCTTCAACTCATGTGATCTTGTCATGCTTCCAAGGTCTCTTTCATTGAACCCATCAAATTTGTAACCACAATCGATTAGTCGGTTTGCATAACGAGTTAGATATCTAGATTAATTAAAAATATTTATTCAACTACAAGGGTGGTGTCTGATTGGTTTAAGTTTGGCTCCAAAGATCAAAAGTACCAGGAGGTCCTAGGTTCAAATCCAAGGAGGAATAAAAATCCCCTTGTGGCCACGGAGGTTCAAATGCGATGACTCCGAGTTATCTGTAAAGCAGACGGTCGCCATAGGATTAGTCGGCTTGCATAGCGGGTTAAATATCCAGGTTAATAAAAAAATTGTATTATCTTTTGTTCAAAATATAACATAAATAAAAAAAATCAATTTAAACGTATGTAATAATTTATTTAAATTATATAATTCGAATAAAAATTTACCTAATTATAGTAAATTGATTTGTTTTACTAACCTCGATATCTAACCCGCTATGCAAGCCGACTAATCACAGGGCGATCATCTGCTTTGCAGATAGCCTGAAGTCACTGCATTCGAACCTCCGTAGCCACAAGAGAATTTCTTTTTCTCATTGGATTTGAACTTAGGACCTCGAGACACTTTTAATTTTTGAAACCCAAACTCAAACCAATCAGATACCGCCCTTGTAGTTGTAAATTAATATTTATCATAATCCAAGTGGGTTTGTCAAATTTTCTTAAAATTGGAAATAATTTTACTTTTAAAAGTTTTATTTCAATGTTTATAACAATATAATTTAAATAAAAAAAATATAATAAATTTGTTTCTTCCATTGCAAATCAAACAGACAGATTCCAATTTATTAGACAAAATACGTTTAATTCATGTCAACCAAATACTTGGTCAGACCTAATAACGTTACATTCAAATTTCTTTAACTGATTATATTTTTTCAGAAATCATTCTGCAACCATTTTTATTTAAATAAAATTTTTATTACATTTTAATATAAATTTTCCCCATAAAAAAATGGTTTTGTTGGTTGGATTTCAATCATCTACCATCCATCTACCTGCCTGTTTAAAACCATTTTAAAATTGCTTGAATTCCATTAGTGCTTCCAAGAAACCTCTCTGGCATTACCATCCTCTCCATAACTCCTCTGTTTCTTATTGCCAACCGCCATTGGAGACCATCACAAAAGCTTCAAGATTATGCAACACCCTCCCGGCAAACCCGCCATCGATGACGGGACCGCGGTCACGCGGTCCGGTCAGAGCGTTTTCATGTCGGTTTACAAGACCCGAGTCGCCGATCAGTGTTGGTTGATCACCGTCACTTGGTGCAAGAACATGTTGCTTCACGGGCTATCGGTGTCGGTCGACCGACCGCACGCCGAGACCACGTGCAAGGTCGAGCTGAAACCGTGGTATTTCTGGCGGAAACAAGGCTCCAAGAGGTTTGTGTCGGATGGTAAGGCGATCGATGTTTTCTGGGACCTGAAAGCGGCCAAGTTTCACGGGGAAACGGAGCCGAGCTCGGAGTATTACGTGGCGGTCGTTTGCGACGAAGAAGTGGTTCTCTTACTCGGGGATTTGAAGAAAGATGCTTATAGAAAAACCGGTTGCAGGCCGGCTTTGATCGATCCGATTTTGGTATCGAGAAAAGAACATGTTTTCGGGAAAAAGAAGTTTGTAACGAGAATCAAGTTTCACGAAACGGGTCGGTTTCACGAGATATCGATTGAGTCGAAGAACACGAACACCGAACACGGGGCGGATTCCGAGATGGAGATAAGAATCGATGGGCATTTAATGGTTCATGTGAAGCATCTTCAATGGAAATTTAGAGGTAATGAATCCATTAACTTCAAGAAAGTGAAGATTGAAGTTTATTGGGATGTTCATGATTGGCTTTTTAGTCCTGGTTTAAGGCATGCATTGTTTATAATCAATTCAACGGCTCCGGTGGTGGTGCCGCCAACGTCGACACCATCGTCGTTGGCGGCAGGGGGTTGTGGTTCGTCGGAAGGGTTTAACCCAAATGGGTTCTATGAGTTTTGCCTCTTTCTTTATGCTTGGAAGGTCGAATGACATCCAAATCAACATTACTTGTCACTTCTCTGTTTTACTTCAAACGATGTCTGTTTGTATCTACATTCGAACTTACCGAAGCCTGTCCATGGTTAGTTAAAAGACGTTACGTTTTACGTGTTTTTTAATTGTAAATACACTCGGATATCTCTACGTGCATTCAAACCGAAAAACCCGATATAGAGTTTATCAAGAATCGTGTTTTTTACGAGTTTGATTATAAACACGCTCGATATCTATATCTACTTCCAAGCTCGCGATCCATATAGGTTTTAGCTTGAATGGTATGTTATAAGTTCGATTGCAGATACGCTCAGATATCTACACTTTGATTGCTCGCAGAAAACCATTGGGGATTTTCTTGGTTGTTCTTCAAGGCCACTGAGATTAATTAAGGTACGTGCAAGCTGGCCCGCACATTCACGGTTAACGAAAAAAAGTGCTTTATGTGTCTTTTTATGAGTTCGGTTTTATATACACCTTGATTTTTGTATCCGCAACCAAAGTCGTGAAAGCTCATGCGGATTTAGTTATGATAGTCCGTTCTATGTGTTTTTTTTATACGTTCGATTACATAGACGCTCATAGTGGAATGTTCAAACAAGAAGACTAAGGGGCCGTTTACTAAACACTTACTTGGTAAGTGCTTACCGGATAAATTTCCTTATCGGATGAACATGAGAAGGGTCAAGAATCTTACCGGGTAAAAACGATGAGAATGATGGAGAGTCTTACCCGGTAAGTGAGGATGACGACTCTTACCTAGGTAAGCGCTTACCCAGTAAATTGTTGCATTCAATATGTTTTGATGTACTAAAATCTTGCGCATCAAAATAAATCACATTGTTGATTTCTATCGGTAAGCGCTTACCTTACCGGGTAAGCAATTAGGTAAACGGCCCCTAAATATCTTGAGAAGTTAATAAGGGAAGATTCATACGTGTATCATTGAAAAACTTCATTTTGAAGACGTATATGTGAATTCATATGAATAATCTGTAATGTCGATTCACATATGAATCTTCAAATAGATTTTTTCAATGATTCACATGAATATTCTCTTCTTACGTTCTTACGATATTTAGTTTTCTTATTTAAACGAGTCCCTACACTCGTATTCTTTATATCTGTATTCAAATTCATAAAAACAAGCACGGTCTCACTACGACGATCTCGTCCTATGAGTTTGATCGAATATGAACTAGATCTCCCTATCTATGTCCGAGGAAAAAAACACTGTATGGTTTAGATGTACCATGTGAGGATATGTGAAACTCTATAGGCAAATTGTATGAAAAAGTAACGTATTTTAACTTGATTCATATTTTGAGTAACGTACTTTCAAAACTTTCATTTTGATACCTAAGATGCAAAGTTTTAAACATTTAAGTACCCGAGTAACCAGTTAAAGCATTAACCGGTTAGATCAAGATATCCATATCAACAAATAATACTGAGTTGGATACCACATCAGCATGGTAATGAGTTAATGCTTCAACCGATTACCCGGATACTTAAATGTTTAAAATAATCTTTATAAAATACGTTATTTTTTCATGCAATTTACCCTAATTTATTTTCTAAAATAATCTTTATAAAAGAAGGTTATAAATAATATACAAGGTTAAATGAATATAAAAATATTGGTGATGCATGGAGATTAAGGTGGGGTGGAATGATCACATGGATAGGAGGGGCACCTAATAGCAATTTGGACAACACACACCGTAGCAATTCCTTGGCTCAATTATACATATATAGGGTTGGGTTCACGTAATACCAAAGGTTTTTCGTGAGACCCGTAAGACCAATTTATATTAATTGATCAACTTTATAAGCTAATGATCTAACGGTCTAAAATTGTACGGTGGCAATTTTGTGATTATTGAGAAGTCTCGTGACGTTTATGAATATTCAGATTGTCATATTGTAGATCTAATCCAAGGATTGAGAATTGGTCTTACGGATCTCACGAAAAACCCTTGGTGTCACATGATCCCAAGTCTCTGAATCTCTCTCTCTCTCTCTCTCTCTCTCTCTCTCTCTATATATATATATATGAGGTTTACTTTGCAAACCATGTTATTTTTACAAACCGTACAAATCTCATTCAACTGTGTTTATTCTTTTGTTTGGTTCTCGTCTAAGGGGTTGTTTACCAAACGCTTACTCGGGTAAGTGAACACCAAGTCACATTATCTTATCGGATGAATATGGTAAGAACCAATAATCTTACCCGGTACGGTAATATCGAGACAATGACCAAAAGTCTTACCCGGTAAATGAGGACGATGAATCTTACCATGGTAAGTGCTTTACTGGGTAAGTTATTGCATACAATACCATTTTATTGATAAACACTTACCGGATAAGTGTTTGGTAAACAACCCCTAACTCTATAGATGTATTATATAGAGAGAGATCTTTTACAAACTCAACCATTAGTTGTAATCTATGCTTTATTGGTTGTACAACACCTCGACAAAACTCGAGGTATCATTAACAACTGGCAACTATAACAGTAGGTCCCGTCATAGGACCCACGTAAAGGTAAATATAGGTTCGTTTGGTTTTGTAGACCTTACATTTGTATGAGATATACTGAGTTCATTTTATTTAGGTCACATATATTGTCGTAGCATGTTAGGACACCGAATGGTTAGAAAGCGAGATGGTCAACGAATCACGAAAACCCGATAAAAGGGTAAAAATGTCATTAAGTTATAACACAAATGTTGAAATTTTTTTACTACATCAACTGGTGTGTGTAAAATTCACATAAACTTATTAGTTTTGATACAAAAACAATAATAGAACAAGTGTACAAACATAAGTATCTCGATCTAATACGTGTATATATATATATATATATTGAGAGAACAAGAATAAATCGAATCACCTGTCGTCACTTTGCAAAACCGAACCATTTCGCTAAGAAAAACGGGTTCTTTCCTTTTTCACGAGGGGCGTCGCCTGAT